TGACACCAGTACACTTATCAAGGTTTTGAGTCACCATGACGTGCATGTCGCGAAACGGGAGGAAATCGTGCACGTCATTTTCCAGAGGTATGCTTGACAGGGGTGTTTCGTTCTGGAACCCTCGGCTGATGACGATGTTGTTCACGCGATTCGCGGCAGCGCGGGAGACTGTGAGGAAGGTGGCATCTGGCGCATCTTGGAGAGTATGCCATATGTCATAATCCGTGATCTCCGATTGGTGGAACAGCAGCAGGGGGCGTTGGAAATTGTACTGTTGGGGATGGGAATAGCGGATATATTGGAGGAAATCCATGTATGCCTTGTCGGTGCACCGGAACTGTTGGTACAGGGAATGGACCTGGCAGACTTCGCGTAGGCGGCGGTTCTTCAAGATGGACGTGGTTTGGGTCGTACGGCCGTTGATGGTCTGCAAAGACGGTTGTTGACGTTCATCGCCGGCAATGATGATGAGGAGTCGATGGGCCTGTTTTTCCAATGTGTCATGGATCATGTCGAAGGTGTTATCGGCGACCATCGAAGCCTCGTCAATGATAATAGCATCGTACGTCCCCATGTTGTAGTTAACCACGTACTCTTGGTCTGCCGCAATAGGGATATTAAAAAGGGCGTGGATGGTATCAGCCTGCAGATCCGGGTAGAATTCTACCCTGTAGTTGGTAGCAAGAAGACCCAGGGGAGCGCACACAGCAACAGAGTATTCCTCTTCGATTAAGGTGTGGATGAGGCGCTTCACCACTTGAGTCTTCCCAGTGCCGGAACAGCCTAACAACAGTTGGTATTTGGCGTAATCGCTGGAGTTTGGGTCGGTTAGTTCCTGGGTAGAGCGACTGGCTGGAGTCAACCACGTGCCGTAGATGGAACGTCGGCGTGCTTCCACAAGAGAAAGGTATCTGGAATAAATGGCTCGCTGCTGTGGGGACAGAGGATATTGGAGCTCAAACTGAGAGCGTTCAGAGCTTACAAAGGTGCAGTCGATCACTCCCAGTTGCCACAGCGCGTAGATGTCCTCAAGAGATTAAATATACAGCACGATGGTGTCCAGATAGCTCCTCTTGTGGGATTCACTTGACAGGTACTCCAAGATCGTCTCTCTGGACCCTAGGATGTGGGGCAGTTTTTCCCTGGCTGGAACAAAGTGCTTAATGGGCTCTGGTAGGCGGTCTTCGCGAACATCGTGAAGCTCATCAAGGCTACGGTGAGGCAAATTCATGATCAGCAGCTGGTAAAAGAACATCGGGTTAAATCGGGAGAAGTGTTTGACGCTGACCAGAGTGCTCCCGTCCTTGTACCATTTCGGTGGATTTTTGTCGTGATCGTATTCGCGCAGCCACTGTAGAAATGTGAGATGTTCATCGTGTTCAGGACGTGCTAGGTACTTCAGATGGACCTTGTGCTGGGTCTGCCCAGGTGTTGGGGCTGTGAAGGGCTTCGTTCACGAGTTGGTCCACGCAATCTTCATCGAGGTCAGCTGAAGCACCATCTCCGGTTCCAAGGGATGCATGTTTTTCAGGAATGATGTTGCAGCCTGATACGCGCCAAGGTCGACGGAGTAAAGTTGTTGCGTTTTAACTGCATCGTGACACTTGGCGACATAGGAGGTGACGTACTTCAACAGCATCGCCTTGCCATCGGAGAATTGGACGTCCATAGAACACTGCAGAGAACCAGTCAGGGCAGGCACAAAAGCTCGCAGGTTACAGCCTTTATCGCTTCGACTGTGGTGGAATGCCAAGTACGTCTGATTATTTTCGGTCAGCACGCGGTTTGGTCCTTGTCTCAGCGGAAGAGAGCTTGTCCGCGATTTCTGGAGATCGTACACTAAGAACGCTTCCTCCACGTTGCCCCACAGTATGGTTGCAGAGAGTTTGCTGACATCATCCTCGTTCATGTCGTCTAACCAGATGAGTATGTGGGCGTGAAGAGTGCCCCTCTTTTGAAACTCGAAGCGATAAAAATAGTTGGTGACATTGTTCGCAGAGGGGTCACTCTTCTTAGCAAGCAGGTGGTTCTTCCATCGGTTTGTGTTGCTTCCGCATAAATAGCCACGGATGTACTGTTCTAGCACGTGCGCGATGTGGATCGTTTCGGGTATTGCTAATTCCGTCGCACCTTTGCCCGTCTGGTTGCGGAGATGGTCTAACCAGGGCGGAAACGGGAAAGTCCATTCAAAGGGAGAAATGGTAATGAACATGGACGGGAACCCGAATTGGCGGACGGCATCGATCAGGTAACGGTGCTGGTTCGTCCAGTACTGGTGGCTGAACGTCTTGGCCTCTAAGGCAGTGGCGGGTGAACATTGACCTTGTTTGGTGGAGTTGATGGCTCCGGTGATTGTCTTGAACAACCAACGATCATAATGGTAATGCAGGAGATCATAGTTGATCGCATAATCGCAGATAGGAGACGCGATTTTCGTCATGAAAGATACCTTGCCGCTCTTGCGAGTTTCTTGCCCTTCGAGGAAAGACTCACACAGGCTATTGTCGTGGTATAGGTGCTGCCATAGTGCAGCCTCAACCCCATGGAACGATTCATGCGAAAACAGTTCAAATATCCAGGGCTCGCAGACGTGACTCCGGTGCATCATGATGAACTTCTTGTACAAACAATTTCTCTTCTTCATTAAGTACTCGAAGGCAGCTCTCCTTCGTCTCCTCGAGACTGGATCCCTGATGTTGCGGATTTTGACCTCAACGTCCTCCTGGGCCCATTTGATTTTGAATGGCTCTTCGCGCACTCTGTAGCCGAACATCATGCGATTGTATCGGCCAGAG